AGAGTTTCTTCTGACATCCATTTTGGTCTTTTCTTTCTTTCCTGTCTTTTTAATGACCTTTTGCTTTCTTCATATATAATGTCCTTGATGTCATCCCACAACTCATATGGTCTTCGGTCATCAGTGTTCAGTGCATCAAATCTATTCTTGAGATGGTCCCTAAATTCAGGTGGGATATACTCACAGTCATATCTTGGCTCTCGTGTACTTGTTTTCATTTGCTTCAGCTTGAACTTGAACTTGCATAGTGTCCAAAATGTTTTATTTGGCCAGCACAGTTTTTAAAAACACTTTTAATTACTTACTTTATTTAAGAATCTGGACATTTTATATAAACATGCAGATTTCTAGTTTCTTTTGAAAAGTCTTCTCTGGCCCACATACCTGCACATGGAACCGAGCAGTCGCGCCCCCTTGAGGTGAGTGTGCAACCTCCAATCTGTCCTGGCTGTCACTGGGCAGCTGCAAACCTTTCTTTACCTGCCAAGACCCTGTGGCAGGTGGGTTTCTTTTATTTAAACTGTTCTACTTACATTTCCATAGACATAGTGAGAGGTTAATTATACTCTTCTTGCCTCAGAGATGGGGAAACGGAGAGCAGAGTTAGTTAGCTAATGAAGGAGGACATTTGAGTGTCAGGCAAGAGCTCTGAACACAGCTCTCCTCCTCTACTGAGTGATGCTTCTCCCATTCCCTCAAGCTCCCTTCCAACGTTATTAAAGTAAAATGTCCTAGGAAAAACAATGGGCTTCTTGTGATGAAGCCTCAAAGATGTAGATTTTTAGACAGAATTCCTAGAAATTTAAATACATTTGACTTTTGTTCTTTAGCTTTTCTAAATTTATTCCCTTGTCCTTTTTTTAAATTTAAATCTTAGCTAAAAATAGTTAATGTTTTCAGATACGATTTGTTTAATGAGAATTACATTTTTAAAGATTCAAATTGGGTTAATCCTATTGTATGTTTTGTTAAAGATTTTCCTAAAAGGTAATGACATTTTTTTTCTTTTGAGTTGAAAGAAATATGACTTGCAACTAGGTCTCTATCACTTCAAACATCTTACAGGCAATTAAATATTTGGATTCAGGAATAAAAGCCTGTAGGTACCATATGGTCAGATTTGAAGAACAAAATACATGTGATAGATACATGGCCAGAGAACTCTTTGGACTATTGAAATATGATTGCTCCCACAGAGAAGATTCACAAAATATCATGTTAACTTTATGAGCTGCTCCACTAGTAGTTAGTTATAAATACATTGGTAAATTTAGCCTTATGACCACTTTTGGTTTTTCATTGGAAGTGTTGACCAATTGCCAACCGGTAATGTTGAGATGTGTTTTTCTGGTTCTTAGAGTTTCACATATCATATAAAAATAAAATAAATGAGTGAATTAAATCCGGTATTTAATTCTTTCACTCATCCTCACACTGACCTTTCCTTTTCACTGCTTTTCCTTTTTTTACCTTTCCTACAGGAAGGGATAGAATCTGGCGATCCTGGCACTGATGACGGGCGATTTTATTTCCACCTGGGCGATGCCATGCAGAGGGTTGGGAATAAAGAGGTAATTGGTTTCTGAACTTCTTCTCTCCAGCAGAGGGTAGAGAAGAAGAAATATATTTCTAGGAAAAAGTTAACAATTGAAAAATATTTTAAGCGTAAACATTTGAAAGTGGTGACTTAAATTACTTAACTATTTAAACTACTATAGTTACACTATTTTCAAAACAGCCTAATAATTCCTACTTACTTCTATAAAGAACTTTTGGGATTTGACTTTATAGTTTCTTTCAAAATAGTAGCTGAGTAATCATAAGGTCAGCCTTGAAACCAGTGTGTGTGTGTATGTGTGTGTGTGTATGAACATCTCTGTGTGTGTCTGTACATGTGTATGTAGAGATGTTGCTTTGAAGAAGTATTTCAGAAATTACACAAATGAAGAGATGTCAGTGAAATTGCTTTAATTATTAAAAATATTTTAATAATTTACCTAGATTCATTTATTTTGAAAATTTAAAAGTAGTTATCTTTAGAATGCATTATTTTACTGATTGCTATGCACGCTGAGCCTACTGGTTAATTGTATAATTTGCTTTCTGAAATATTTAATAGCAAGTTCAAGATGAACACTTGTGGCTATAGTAATTGACAAGCACTGACACAAAAAAATGCAGTAGCTGAAACTGGCTGCATGTTTTCTATGTGATTATTCCTTTTTTCTGAGTACAACGCCAGCTTCTTTACAGATAACAATTCAATGGTTAACCATGGCATCCTGTACTTTGAATGTCCAGACTCTTAAATGATCCACCGTTACTTAGGCAACTCTGCTAGGTGGAAGTGCCCCCCTTTTCGGTCCTGCACCCCTGCAGTGCCTCTTAGGCTGGGCTCTCCTTAGTGTTGGTGGATAAAGGGGAGAAGCGGGACACTGAATCTTCATAATCATTACATTCCATATACGTAATCAAGTCACCTCTAAGGATAGCACAGTTTCCGGTTTCTAAAATTAATAAGAATATGGAACCATTTGGACAATTAAGGGTTCAGCAGGCAAGGGGTTTGTGACAGGGTAATTGCCAGTTAGAGACATAAACCAATTTGGGGCAATAGAGGCTTGGCTAATTGACACTATTTTCTTTATACCTTTCTGTTTATCTGTGTCTTTCCCCTTCTCACCTACCAGTCAGTCATCTGAAATAGCATGAGACATTAGGAGTTTAGAGAAAGAAGGAGAAGAAATTACTGATTAGGAATCGTTTTTGTGTCCCTCCTTCTGTTAGATGTAAATGACCCATACCCCATTTGAAGGAGAGCAATAAGAATGATTTGGCCACAGTATCTAACACTGGATAAATGCTCATGTCTGATGAGTATAAATGTAATTGTCACTAATTAATTTACCTTTGAACATTTCAGAGTCCAGGGCAAAGACAGATAAAAGAAGCCTGTGTTTATCTTACAGCCTGGATGAAAACAGCTCTTAATTCAAGGGCAAAGAATTCACTACTAGGTACTTATTGAGGGCTTGGGATTTAAACCTAGGGGACTGTTCTACAAGCTTAATTATCATTAATATGCAAGGAAAAGCACGGTTCTAGAATTTAAAGAGTTCATAAGAAATCATCCTTACAGGGAAAAAAAAAAAAATGTCTGTAGACCGCAGTTGCCTGAGTTTGCATATCGTGGGAAGGACCAGCCTTCTTGCTCTGGTGTGGGGAGTTCTGCTTCAGCTCCAAAAGGTCATCAGTGCATCAGAAGCAGACACCTCTGTGCTTCAGAGGCTGACAATAAAACTGTTTTCAAGGACGATTTTTCAAGCAGATATGATTTGTATGAACAGGCGTGAGGAATACAACTATGACAGTCAATTCCATTTCAGCTGTGCCCAGTATTTCCATAACTCCCAAGTCCAATGTTCTCCCTCCCAAAGTACAGATTCCTATATCCTACTGCCTGCTTGGTGTCACTGCATGGCGGTCACAGAAACAACTCACTGTTGTCTTCCTTTCCAAACCGTTTTTCCTCTTTGTTTCTTCCTCTCCAAACCATTTTTCCTCTCTCTTTTGATGGTATAGTCTACCTCCAAGCATCAAAATTTGGGTCACCTTTAGCTCTTCCCTCTCCTGGGACAGGCCCCCTCCTTGCTCCAGTCTCGTCTGGGCCACATTCTGGGGATTCAGCTTCCTTGTGTCTTTTGTCTCTTTTCCATGGGTGTTTTAATTCCAGCCTTTGTTACCTTCCACCTCAAGGATGGCCATAAGAATCTGCTCCTGTCTCTTACTTTAGTCTTAATTTCGTCAAGTCCACTGCATGCTCAGTGCAGAGGAAATATAAAGCTCTGTTTCCAGGCAGTGGCATTTACTATCTGCACAGGAAAGCCACTGCCAGCCTTGCTCACCATAACTGTGTGTCCCATTGTCTCCCTCCACACTCCACTGTCCACCACTCCAGGCAGAGGGGACTCCAGCTGGGGCCACATGGGACAAGTCCTTCCCTGGTCATAGCCTGGTGTTTCTGAGTGTGTGTGTGTGTGTGTGTGTGTGTGTGTGTGTGTGTGTGTGTGTGTGTGTGTGAAAACCGTGAATGGCAATAATTTGAAGAAGGTGTAGAATACATTGATATAAAACACACTTAAGGTGCCCCAGGGTGCTTACTGTCTTGTTAGTATTCCTGATTAGGGATAGAAAAGGGAAATAGTAAAGACGAATTTTTCAAAGGGGTCTAACTTAATCATTGCTTTTCAAGCAATTTTTATCATAAGGTTTACATTAAAAAGAATAAAATAAGTAATCTACTGGATTAATTGGGTCCTCTCTATATCATTAAATAAGATTTTTACAGATTTCTGATATACCACTTGTCAAGGATTTCTTTCTTCTCAAAGTTAAATGACAGAGGGGTGCAGAACTAAGGATCCTGTTCGATGAAGTAATACTTACTTTGAGTCTCAGGAAAGACCTTGTAGGTGATTCATACATGCCATTGTATATAAGTTAAGTGACTTGCCCAGACATCGAACATGGTAAATGTTAAAATCTAAGACTCCTAGCTCCTGAACTAGAGCCATAAGGTTTGCTATTTTCCTATCATTTTTTTCTTGCTATCTTAACAATAATCCTAGTCCTTAAAATGAATTTCTTGTGATTCAAAAATTAAAGGACTGTCAGATTTTCAGAAATTAATCTGTTGTCATTAATATTGTTATTGACTTTAACAACAGAAGATATAGAAAATAAAATCCTAAATTTAAATTGCCCAAAAATAACAAAGGTAGATAAATTTCAAAAGTAAAATGCTATTATTTTTAAATCAGACAATAATTAGTCATTTCCATTTTCTGACTTTAAAGGAAACTACTTTATGGCTAAAACTTACGTATATTTCAGGGAAAACTTTTAAGAATGATTAGTATGTACATTATTAAGTTGGGATTTCATTGAGAAAGAAGATTAAATGAGAAAGTCACTTTCAATAGATTTTTTTTTTTTTTTTAAATGATGCAAAGATAGAAGGAGAGTAGAACAAGTTTCCTAGAACCCTGGGTTCTGGGTGAGGATACTCAGCCTTTCTGAACCTCAGTTTCAGCATTTGTAAAATAGAGATATTTGGGATTACTGGAAAAATCAAGAGAGCTTATATATGTGAAAGCAAGTAGTATTACTATCACATTTCATTTATCAAAGGAAATTTGGGGATATGAACTTTAAAAGACTTAAAAATTAATATTTTTGTTTACATCTAATGTGTTTTTGGAGTTTTATAAGGCCAATATTCAACTTGAAATGAAATACCTATTTTTATTGATCAAAACATATATTTGAAGTCATTCTTCAAAAGTAATACTTAGATCAGACTTGTGATAATGGAGGGGACAGTAGTACATGATCCCCTAGAAGCGCGTTTAGTTCTGGAGACAATGGACCCAGCAAGGTGCTGGAAACATGTGGGAGGACGACTCTGAGAGCATATGGTCAAGGCATCACTGGAAGCACACATATGGGGCAGCATACTCTGCAGCCAGCTGTCCCTGAAAAGGCTAGTCATCTTGGATGCAAGCTGTATCATGTTACAGCTAGCCTGAAGTCACAAATGTTATCCCTTATGGCAAAAGAAAATATTTTGAACAAAAGTTTCCTTTTAAAAAATCTAATATAGCCTATCACTATATTTATTGCCAGCTCAGAATAATATTTCCTTTCTCTCTGCTTAATTTAGTGGATGACTTATGCTCTGTCTCTCTCACCTTGTGGTCTTCTTAAATGCAGACATGGAAATAATGTACATGTCAAAAGAAATTGCTCTCCATTTAGCGTTTCAATTCATAAATGTAAATATCTTTGAAGAAATTGTTAAAATTATAATCCTTTCTTGTTAAAGAAAAGATAAAGATAGAACTTAAGAAATGAAAGCTAAAATATAAATATATTTCCTTTTGGTGTCTTCAGTTATTCATCCACTCAACAAATATGTCCTAAATGTTGCGCTAGACAGTCTGGGAAAGACAAAATGAGTGAGTCCTGAGTCCTGTATTCAGAGTTTATAACCTGACAGTGAAAATACAATTCACGCATTTATTTATAATAACACATCATAATAAGAAGCCAAATGAAATGACGGTATTTGCACCAATGGAATAGATTTGAGCACCTAACTGACAAGTTTGTTATTTAAATATGTCAAAGTAACACTTTATTGTTAGTGTTTTTAATTTTAGAAATAATAAAAATGCTGAATTGAGAGAATAGTTTGGAGCTCAACCTCTCTGTCACTTCAGGCATATAAGTGGTACGAGCTTGGGCACATGAGAGGACATTTTGCATCTGTTTGGCAACGATCCCTCTACAACGTGAAAGGACTAAAAGCTCAGCCATGG